GGAGGAGCGCCAAGAATGCTACAGAGGGTCAGCCTTGCCCAAGGAGGAACTCCTGGGTGACACGGTGGAGCTGGCGCTCGGGCTTCTTACGATTGCAATGAGACACCCAAGTCATTTTCCGAATTGGGGTGGCCTTGAGGGAGCAAATGCGTGCGTGAGGGGAATCGAAAGATCATTCTTCCGCTACGCGTCGGCCGAAGCTATCGAGCTGATCACGGTTGACTCCCCACGCAAAAGGACACCGCCCAAGAAGAATGAAGCAGTCGCTGAGATCGTCAACAACATGTCCGCTGACCTCGTGATTGATTTCACAGTGATCGTCGATGGTGATATCTACCCCGTAGAGATTGCGAGAACCGACGAGACACAGGCCGCTGACAACGTCACGGACGATCCAGGGTTCTCCGTTGCTCCACCAATACCTGCACAGGATGTAGATGTGGATGCGCAACCCGAAGAAGAACAAGGTGCAGAAGGCCCTGATCCCAGGCAGGCGATTCGTGAAGGATTTGTCGCACAGCTTCAGGACTATGTGGGAGTGCTCGCTCAGGGCGAAATGTCGGTCGGAAGTGACCGCCTCACGTTCTGTATCGCTTGTGGCAGTGATCTACACACTCTGTCCAATTGCACGGAAAATTCTGCAACCCGGGATCTGGTACTTCGAGGCATCCAGATCATCAAGGAAAGCCTTCTTCGATATCCACGTCGAGTACCTCCACAAGAGGCTGAGCCAATGGACGTTGACACCACAGACCATGTGAGTGTTGCATCCTCGGACCGACGACCCAAGGCCAAAGCCCGACCGCGACGCGGAGGCGAAGCCGTACGGGGTGATGTGGTCTTGATCCGTTATGAGAACAAACACAATCTCTGCACGGATGTGGAGAACCGTCGGGGCCTACATGATGCTTGTGGCGTACCACTGCAGGAATCAGGACCAGAGAATAGCCAGCGGGTGGTGGACCTCATTGAGCAGCTTTCGGACCATCGCGACCGACGCCTACCTCAACGAGGAGACCGTCCTAGCTTTGCTTATGATGATACCATTCAGGGCTACACCAATGCAGGCTATGAATGCATCGGCGGCGGAAGGCCAATCCGGTGCGGGATTCTCGACCTGATCCCAACCAAGGGTGCAAGCTTCATCAACAATCGATGGGACATCGTGAACGAAGTTGTCCTTCGCAACATCACCCGTCAGCGCAGAATAAACGCGGATTGGGCGCTATCATGCATCCAATCTGACCTGCGTCACAGAATCGCCAGGCGCCCAGGCTCGGAATGGCTTGACAACAGGTGCCAGGTAGCATTCAGCAGCGTCATTCGATGTGATGAAGGAGGGTGGGTGCTGATCGAAGACTTGGTGAGGCATGAGCAACTATGGACCCATGAAAGCAGACGCATCACCGAAGCGGTCTCATGGTCCGATGAGCAACAGAGGAAGAGAGTGTACAATGAAAGACTTCAGCTATTGTTCCAAGGGAACATGCTCGCAGCCACGAAACGCCACAAGGCCAAGATTCGGTTGCAGTTCCTGGGAGTGAGAGTGAAGGACCCCGGCGTGGAAACTCTTGGATCCGCAGGTTCGAACATGTTGGTATCGGTTCCTGACCAGATCACGGAGATCCAGAACAATGATCGTTGCCGGCACAACCAGAGGTACCTGAACGTTTGCAACGGCTGGGTGAAGCCATGGGCAGTTCGGGCTACAAGTGGTCACTCTGCGCACTCAGATCCCCAGAACAATTTGCTTCAGTTGGACAAGAACAGGTTCGCAATATCTCCATCTATGACCCTCTTGCAACGTCTTGGAGGCGCGTTCCACGCTACGGCATGCCGCAACTTGGATTCCATTGTCACGCAAGGCATCATGCCTGGTTCGGAGGACCCCGACGGGGACTTCGACCATAGGCGCCAATTTCGAGGCAACCAAGGCGGCAGACTCCACAGCTATTGGGGGGTGTTTGCACCGTTCGATCACCGGAACGCGACGACCAAGATGCGGGTACATGGACGAGATGCCAAGCACATGCCACTGGCGGTCCTCCATGTCCATCGCAGGACCTTGCGCGAGAAGATGGACGTATCACAGACAGCGGCATCATGATCGTTGGCCGAACGATACCGTTCCAGTTCGTCAAGGAGGTATGGTTTTGCGTCCCGGATCCTCAAGATACACACTCTTTTGCTCTGGTGGAAAAGATCTACGATGAACGATTGGAGAAAGAGCTGGTGTTGGACTACAATGCATCACCATTGCTCCCTGAGTTCGAGAGATACCGAACGCCGAGCAAGATCATGGAATTGCTTTGCGAGATGCCTCCTGGACCCCACGACACCAGCAAGGAGCAGATCATTCGAGACCTTACGACTGTCCTGGAGTCCCACAGGGAGAACACGGTTCGGCATCACTACATGGACAAAGGGATCAAGTTTGTCATCAAGAATTGGCGACCCGAAGACCTACGCAGAGACGAGGATGGAAGGAGAATGAGGGTGTGCCCGGCATGCTACAACATCGTTCCAGCATGCTTCTCCCGATGCACGTCTTGCTGGTCACAGTTCGTTTCTAGCGGATATTACCAAGGTTCTCCACAACGGGAGACTCCTACGGAGATCCCCAGTGACTTCATTGCTCAGACAATGGAAGCCGCGGCAGCAGCAGTGCCTGAGGCGCCCGAAGAGGAGCAGGAAGCCATGGAGGTAGAGACCGTTGCGGAACCTGAGGAAATCCCAGAACCATCTGTCATCGCGGAGGACGATCCAGAACAGGAACCTGATGAAGAAATGGACATAGAGCCAGGAGAGGACTTTGATGACGCAGTACCAGATGCAGTTGCACAGGAACGCCGTCCCGTCTTCATTACCGGCCAGTCTTTGAACATCGATCCTGAGCTACAACTCGCACGTACCGCCATGCAGCCATCCTACTACTCAGGGAAGCGAAATGCCCATTGCATTGACGCCAACATGGTCGCTCTTTCGTATATGGCTTTCGTGGTATGCAGGACCATCTACAAGGCTTGGTCAGGCTTCGCGAAGTGGGCTACTATGCCGTTGTTTCAGATGAAGGAGAATTTCGCGCTTGGCCAACGTTATGATGTGCTTGGAAAGTGGGGGTCATTGGCTGTAGTGGACAGAGAGACTGGTGTGAGCAGGGATGTGACTGATGAGGAGATCATTCGCTTTGCCAAGGAACCTGAGAACCTCAAGCAGTACGATCCCAACGGGACTTACACTTTGAAGCGCTTCCGGACGAATCAGATGCTTTCGTTGCTTACACGGGGAGCCAACATGATGGGAATTGGCAGGGACAACTTCAACCCTACTACGTACTTGAAGAGCAACAGGGATGAAGATGTGAAGGCTATGCACTTTTGTTGCCTGAACGTCCTGTGCGAGGTGATTCCGATGGTGACAGGACACCAACAATTCTCAGTGCTACGACCAACGCCAACTGGACCGGTGGACTTCTTGTACATCGACCCCGTCGGTATCCTGCTGACTCATTCCGATCATTCAGTCCAGACCATCGGATTGCTGGTGGACCACAATGTGCAAATGCCTGCGCATTTCATGGACAGATTGAACAGATCCAAGGCTGAGAGACAGCAAAACCCGACGACCAAGCGTACTGAAGCCCTACACCACATTTCGGCCGCTGACTATCTCCCTCCAGGTGGTACTTCCATCCTGGACACGCCTGTCACAACGGAGGAACGTGCAAGCGCTTCTTCGGCCAAGGGACCTTCAAAAGGGCGTGAGAGAGCCGGAGGTGAACAGCATGGAGGCTGGAACGCTAACACCTACTATGACTACACCGCCGGCAAAGGCCGAAACAAAGGCAAGGACAAAGGAAAGCAAAGGGAACAGTATCCAGAGGAAAACCTCCGGCCCTGGGACCGCGATCCTGCGACCACGCGAAGATGGAGATGAATCAACGCTTGGTCTTCCTCGCCTATCAGTTCGTGACCTCTGAGCTTCGCCCATGGAATGCCATCGCGAATGCTTCTTTCTTCGGTGACGCCTGATTCGTTTGCCATTTCAGGGGATCGTTACTGACGTAGATGAGTGTCACAACGTTTCTAATTGGGATGCAAAGCTCTGATTTTCAATGTCAACGTTGCGGCGGAACATTTTCTGTTGTCCTATCGTGCCATCTTCCGGGTGAGCAGCGTCGGAGACGCAACTCATGGGGGGTGCGAACGGACTGCGATGCCTTGTCAAGTTCTAAGGTGTCACTATAAGAGCTGTGAGCAAGACCGTGTAAAGTGCAAGAGAAGGGGGCACGCTACGCGTCCCTCGACTCTAAGGGGGCACGCTACGCGTCCCTCATCTTTACCTTTCTATGTGACCGCCCACGCAACGTTTGGCTCAAGTCAATGCCCATAGCTAAGTGCTATAAGTGTCTTCTATCCTGAGCAATCAGAGCTATCCCGTTGCACAGACGAACCGCCGCCGGCAGTGAGTGCAAAAGGAACGGCCGCCGGTTCTGCCTGCGTAGGATTGCGCGTGTGGAAGTGTAAGAGAGACAGGGTCCAGTCTGTGGAGAGTGCAAGCCAGCCACACCTACATTCATTACAGCTCTGGTGGGGAGAGCAGCAACCTAGTCGAGATCAATCCCCCACGCAAAATACAAGCTTATACTTTTTCCTCCCTGGTTTAAAAGCCCAGATACCCTTTTAAACCCTAAATTTTAAACCCCAACCCAGCTTCAGGTTTAGGGACGAGGCTTCAAGGCGCACGGTTCCCTCTTCCACCTCGCCCCTGTGGAACGGCTGGGGACTTCTTGGGCTCTGGGCATTTGACTTTAGGGTTTACGGCACTTGAAGGCTCATGGGACTTAGTAAGTGAGGTTATAAGTCGGTTATAAGCAGGATAACCCCACTTAGAAGACTTATAACCCCAATTATAACCTACTTACTAAGTCCCATGATCCTTTAAGCAAGGATGCGGAACGTTTGTTTGTGCTCTCCGGAGAGGCACACCTCCACTGGGGCATGGTCTCCTCCTCGCAGGCTTTCAATAAACGGGGGTTGACGGTTTAGGGTTTGAAAAGTGTAGGGTTGGGTGGTTTTAGGGGTTTTAAGGGTTTTAAGGGTTTTGGAGATGCTTTCTGTTTTATGCAAATTTTAAAGAATGTGTTTCTGAGAGCTTTTGCCGCTTAAGTTTTTGTCATTGAGAGTTTTGTATGTTGTTTTTGGGGGAGCGAACTTTTGCAATTTAAGGGGAGCTCGGGATCCAGGAGTGGATGGTTCGCAAATTTTTCGAACTCGGTCAGGCCTTATGTCCGCACATGTTTAACGCTCAACCCTAAACCAAGCCTGAACCTTCAATGCCCGGTAGATAGCATCTTTTTCTTGTAAGGTTACTTAAACGTTAAGCTTCAAGGAATAATTGCCCGAGGTCCCAAACCCGAAACCCTGAAACCTAAACCTTAAGCCCTTCAAGCTGGGGTGCTGAGAAGATGAATGATGTTGGCCCGTGAGGGGGAACCTTCGAGGTTAGATACAGGCCCACACTACTGTTCCATTAGGGTTCCTTGTCATAGTTTTAAGTTTGCAGATTATACTACAATCGGTTTGGGGTTTTAGGGTTTAGACGTATACTATTATGTACCCAAAAGCCTTATTTTAACCAAAAAAATTAAGATTTCTACATTCCACGAGGGAGAGAAATGGACATGACATCAGCAGCACACTGTTCGACATCACTTCAAGGGCTTGTTTCTGTCAAGCCCAATGTTACTACAATGTTCCAGAACCACGGTTTGAGAGACGCTTCATTCCAGCTCATCCAACCCGCATCTTCAGAGTGCAGCGCTCAACTCTCCCAGGCTCAAGCCCTAAGCTTTCAAACCAAAATCAACCTTGCATGTGGATCTCTGTAACGCAAACGCACAAAAGCTTTCTAAATTATACTTTCTAGAAACCCTCCACCTTAAGAGCAGAAAAGGGTAAGTTTGAACATCCACATTTTCACGCCTTTAAGGTCAGCCATGGGAATCCCGGCAGGAATCATCACCCACCTTTCTGGGGGCCTCACTCTGGACTTTGAAGTTAAGCCACACACCCGTAAACCTCCAAGCCCCCCATCCTAAATCCTGATCCCGAAACACTTGCCAACAAGTGTTCATAGCCACTTCTCGGAACCTTTAAGCCCTACCCAGCGCACCAAATGTTTAGGCTTTAAGGCCTACCCTACCATTGTAAAGAATCCCAAGTGTAATTTTTGTTTCGGGTGAAGTTACACCCCAACAGGTGGAGCCCTTGCTGCCCCACTTGGCCCACACCGGGGGAGGGCCCGGTGGTCGGCCAAGCGCGCCACTAGCGCCACTGGGCTTGCAGGGTTCCAGACGGTTCAGGGTTTGGGGTAGGTAGGCTTTAGACTTTAGATTATGGTTTTGGTGAGTGTAAATAGGGGTCCCTTCCGACTGGTGGTGAGTGAGAAATTTGATTGCTTTATGGGATGATTGTAGTGAAGCATTGTTTTTTGGCTAAAGCTGTCCAGGGGCTTGAAGGGTTTTGCAGTTGCAGGGTTCTCGTTGATTTAACGTTTAGGGCTTCCTACAGTGTTTGAGGGTGTAGGGAGTTTTGGTTCCAGCTTTTCCTTCTTCTAGACCCAAAGCCCAAATGCAAGACCAAAAGCCCTCCAGGCCGGCATCCCGATGTGTAAGCGCTTGAAGATCTCGTGTTTGCTTTTAACCTATCATAACTGTAACTTAGAAGGAGCCCCCACCCTGTAATAGTGGTATAATAGGAATCTAATAGGGCCCTAATATAATCCTTATAGTGCCTTATAGTCACGATTACAGGGTGGGGGCCCCTTCTAAACTATAACCTACAACCTAGCTAGCTTCGTTTAGGATGTTCACGGGCGATTCTGAGTTGGGCCTCGACGAGTTTCGGGTTGAGGTGGCAACGTGTCCCTAACAAGACAAACCTTCAACCCCTGCAGTTTGGGGATAAGACATTCGAGTTTCGCTATTAACATAGAAACGCCTTGCAGTATACTGTAGCATGCCACTCCAAACCCATATTCTCATCATAGCCACTAGTAGGCTGTAAGTTTTGAGAAGTTCTCGCTTCCCGACTCATGCTAACTGGGGTTTAGGTTGATCCTGCACCCGCTCTGTCCGGCTCCGGATCTCCTAAGGCCCTTTGTTTCGTAAACTTCCGAATCCGGTGCCCCTTCCCGTTCCGTAGGCCTTAGAAGTCTAAACCCGACATCGCAAAATCCTCAAGACAAGAGCCCAGTAGCCTCTTAAGCCCCCTCCACCCCCAAAATCCCAAGCCCCAATCCCTTAGCCCTAGAATCCAACAACTTGTTGGGCCGCCTGCGTGTCCAGGAATCTCCTGATTCTCTTCTTGGCCAGGTGCAAGCCTTGTCGTCGAACCCCGAAACCGCAGAGCCTCAATTCAGGGGTGTATGCTGTTGCGGCAGTTCAGGCTTTGTTTTAATCTGCCGTTGTGTATGTGTTCGTTGTCAATGTCTTTTCCGTGTTGTGCACTTGGGGTCGAGATCCGAAGTAGTGGAATCCTGGGTCTATGGAGCCCTAAACAATCTTGCTTACACGAAGAAGACGCCTTCATATTCATGATGCTCATCATTTGTGTCTGGCTGTCTGTTGACCTGCCCATTGATGCCAGCAACAGGACTACAAGATACTACAAGAGCTTCGCTTTTCGCCACTAATGCTGTAAAGCCGTAAAGCCATAAACATGCTCACCCTACGCCCTAAACCTCGAACCGTAAGCCCTAAACCCAAACCCCAAACCCTAAACACCCTAGGCCCCGATTCTCGGAGTTTTAACGCACAGGCCCAAGACCCGAACTCTTGTATCCTTTTCCTCTGTGTTACGTGCCATGGGTGTGAGCCCTAAACCCTGAGGCCCTAAACAAAACACAGCTCTCATTAACCCCAAAATCTGCATCGGAGATTCCGACTTACTCGGAGGTTCATGGGTAGTGAAAAGTAGGGTTATAAGTCCCTTAAAGGTTGACGTAGGTTAAGATTCTAAGTTTGGTGTTTCTAATTGGCGGTATCCGACATTCAAACTGATATGGGTTAAGGTTCTAAATATACTTACCCTGCTTATAGCCTATTTACAACTACCCATGAATCCAAGTAGAGGGGATGCCAAGAAGCATTCCGAAGAGCAACCGAGTCCTTGGTATAGAGTATAGCGACGGCTGCAAGGGGGACAACCGCAGCCGCAAGAGCCCGAACCGCCAGCCCGAAACGCGAATCCCCTGAACTTTACACCTTAAGCCTTGAACCCCAAACTCTCCACCCCCCAAATCCCCAAACCTTAAATCCCAAAGCCTACAACCCTAAACCCTACAACCTTGCAAATCTTAAAACCCCGAACCCCTAAACTCCCTAAACCCCCAAACTCCGGTTTAGGGTTTAGGGTTTAGGGTTTAGGGTTTAGGGTTTAGGGTTTAGGGTTTAGGTTCCAAACCCTACACCCTAAAGCCCAAAGCCTACAATCCTAAAACCTGAAGCGCCGTCCGAAGCCGCCAGGGGCGGCCACGCGTTTCCCTGGCTTTGGCGCAGAGGTGTAGCTGGTGCGTTCCTCGAGGCCCAGCAGGAAGCGCTTCCTTCTTTTTGATAAAGGGTTACGGGTTTTAGTGGTTTGGTGGTTCGGGGCCTAGAGGTTTTGCTAGTTTCTGTTTTGTGCTGTTCAAAGTTTCGTCGGGTGCCAGGTCGAAGGTGGTTGGGTTTGAGGTTTCGGGTGTCGGGAACGGTGCGTGCGTTCAAGAGTCAGCATACCTCATGTTCATGTGGGTGGTTGTCAAAATTATGGTGCCTTTTTGGGTCCCTATTATAATTCGCACCTATTATTTAGGGTACCCAAAAAGGGGCCCTAATTTTGACAACCACCCATGTCACATGTCATTTTTTGCTTTGTGCTGTTGACACGTTGGCAAAACATATGTTTGTGGAGAGTGTCATAAGGGTTTCGCGGGTGGCTACTAGTTTGGATTCCCTGTGATATTGGATTGATTGGCTGTGGAGCTCGATGACAGAGGCCCTGAACCGTAAGCCTAAACCCCCATGCCTACGCCCAAAACTCAAGTACCTGGTAGGAATATCTCCTGCTAGTCCCTCTATGCGGTTCCGCTGCTATGTACCCTGAAACCGTTTGGAAACCCTATTCTAATGATAAAGGCCACTATGTTTAATCCGGAAAGAGATCGTGGCTTGGAAGGCCACCTAACCCTAAACCCTAATGCCCTCCCCAGAGAGTGCAATACCCCTTAGTTTAAGGAATATAGCTTATATCATAATATGAAGCCCTCATGATTTAAGGTATATTCCTTAACCCCTGAACCCCAAACCCTACAGATCCCTTAGAGGAGCCCTAGGTCCTATATATTCCTCAATTAAGGGGGTATTGGGCTCTCTCCGGGTCCGGGTGCCGTACGTTCCTTCCTGACGCCGTGCCGGCTTGAGGCCTCCGACCTCGGCTCGATAGCTCGGCCTCCCTGGGAGTTTCCGAGATTAGGGGACCCTAGTATAGAGTATAAGGTTCCTTTAAAGGGATCTATAAGGGTTCCTTTAAGGGTTTCCTTTAGGGTTCTATTAAGGGTTTCGGGTTTAGGGTTTGGGAGTTTCCGAAAATGGGAGACCGTAGTATAGCATCCTAAGTAGAAGGATCCTTCTTCTTCTTCTTCTTCTTATTATTGTTATTATTATTGTTATTATTATTATTATTATTATTGTTGTTGTTGTTGTTGTTGTTATTATTACTATTATTATTATTATTATTATTATTGTTGTTGTTATTATTATTATTAGTATTAGTATTAGTATTAGTATTAGTATTAGTATTAGTATTAGTATTAGTATTAGTATTAGTATTAGTATTAGTATTAGTATTAATATTTGTATTTGTATTAGTATTAGTATTAGTATTAGTATTAGTATTAGTATTAGTATTAGTATTAGTATTAGTATTAGTATTATTATTATTATTACTATTACGATTATTATTATTATTAATATAAGGACCCCGAAATAAGTTAGCCCTAATTCTCGGAAACTCGAAACTCCCACCTTCAAGAGAGAAGCAGACGATGCAACGTGTCGTAGATGCAAATGCAGGCTTCAGCGAACTTCGAAAGTGGCTGAGGGAGAGCCACATTACTATGGGGGCCTAAATAATTACCTATTCTATTTTGGGGGTTCCTTAAAGAAAAAATAGTAGTTGAGTTGACCCCAAACCCTATTCTAATTCTTAAAGCCCTTATATCAAGGAGCTCCCAACCAGGCTAAGCTACGGAGAGGCGGATGTGGCCCCCACTCCTGACGCCGGCGATGCACGGAATGGGCGTGTGGTCCCCGAGCTGCCTCGAGACTCCAGCCCTCAAGAAGAAGCGACCCTAAACCCACCCCTAAACCCGATTTAGAGTTTAGGGTTTAGAGTTTAGGGTTTAGAGTTTAGGGTTCAAGGTTTAGGGTTTAGGGTACTAAACCCTAAACCCCACCCCTAAACCCTGAATCCAAAGGGGGGGTTGTCAAAATTGGGGTCCCTTTTTGGGGTACTCTAAATATTAGGTGCCGTGCTATATTCGGGACCCAAAAAGGGACCGTAATTTTGACAACCACCCAAGACTAAACCCGAAGCCATAAACCCTAAATTCCTAATTGTAAAGCCCTACACCCTCAACCCCCCTAAGCCCTAAACCCGAAACCATGGACCCTAAATTCTTAATTCTAAAGCGCAAGTGCAGGCCGATGCACGACCCAAGACTGACGATGCCGAGGACTTCACCGGAACTGTTTAGGGTAGAAGCCCAACAGTTGGGAAACTCAATAGCCTCAATCCTTAAGAGTAATGTATAGGGAATCCCAGCACTATTTGGCCTTAATTCGGTTTCCAAGTTTATGGAGTTTCCTGTAGGGTGTTCGGGGGTTCAGAGACCTTAGGGTTTAGGTTTCGGGGTTAGGAGGTTTAGGGGTTGGGAGCTTAGGGTTTAAAAGATTGAATAAGAGCTTTAGGGTTCGAAGGTTTAGAACGAGTTTCGGTCTCGGCAACTTGTCCGGATTTCAGGTTAGAGTCATTCTTCTCATGATTATCCCTGGCCGTCGTCGTCGTCGTCCTCCTCCTCCTCCTCCTCCTCCTCCTCCTCCTCCTCCTCCTCCTCCTCCTCCTCCTCCTAGCAGTAGTAGTAGTAGTAGTAGTAGTAGTAGTAGTAGTAGTAGTAGTAGTAGTAGTAGTAGTAGTAGTAGTAGTAGGAGCAGCAAGTAGCGGCAGCAAGTAGCGGCAGCATCAGCATCAGCATCAGCAGCAACAGCAGTAGCAGCAGCAGTAGCGCTTGTGGGCGTGGTTGCGGTGCAATGTTTGTGGTAGTTGTTGTGGTTGTGGCAGTGGTCGTAGTGGTTTTGGTTACGTGGATGAAATGCAGGGTGCAGTTTTCAAAGGAGCAGCACCCTGGAAACCCTAGCTCAGCCAGAATCCTGTATGCAGCCCTTTAAATCTTTGATACGAGACCTCAGACTCAGTTCACAAACCGCCAAACTCTATGATTACAAAACCACCAAACCAGAAAAGAATAAAGCTGAAGGCCCTAAACCCTAAACCCATTCACCAAGAAAGGCAGATCCGCAAACCCCGAAAGGAAAAACGGCGCGAATGAAGAGCGGACCCCAACATGCAAACATATGAACACCGAAAAGACTTACGCAACATTATATGAACAGAACATGCAAACCACACTTCAAAACAAACACACAAAGACCTAGAACCACAAGAATGACAGATCACTGTTATCAACAAATGCTCAAAACCTACTAGCCCCAACATGAAAGAGCTCCACGATTAAGCAAATAGCACTGGAGCAGAACCCACCTCATCCCTTCCACGGGAAAAGTAAACAGCCCCATTCTCAAAGCAGCCTATAGCCCTACGCGCTAAACCCTAACTGCAGTCAGCGTCGTGGGTGGAGTGCGTTTCAAAAACGTCGAGACAAAAAGATCTAAATCCAATGTAAAACATGCTAAATCCTTTGTACCTAGACCCTCTCTATTAGACCCTAAACGCCCCTTATTTGGGACCATATACCCCTATTTGAGGGTACAAGGAGGGTCCTGGTAAATGTAGAAAAAGCTGCTGGAGGATCTAAATCCAATCCAAAACATGCTAAATCCTGTGTAAATGCACCCTAAACCCTAAACCCTAAACCCTAAACCCTAAACCCTAAAGCGTAAAAGCTGCTGGAGGATCTGGGTATGCACCGCCTGGTGCCTGCTGGTGCACTTCTGCCGCTGGCGGATGCCTTCACGACGTTTGGCGCATGCAGTTTCTTGAGTGGGGGATGTTGGCGGTTGTGAAAGGCTGTTACAGGTGTTCTATGGGTCTTAGAAGGGCTTAAGGTTTAAGGGCCTTAAGGATTGAGGCGCTTCGCTCTTTTTGGACTTCAAGGTTTTGGCTGGGCGACTTTTGGGGAGCGTGGTTTGATGGGTCGCTGGGGCTCGGTTTCTCGGAGTCACGGAATCAAAGGGGAAAAGGAGGGACCCCTACCCTATAATGGGCTATAAGGTATATACCTAGGGTTTATGGTCTTTTCAGGTTGAACATTGGTTTCAGCGGGTTTAAGTTGTTGGGGTTAGTTGGATCCAGGTTCTTAGGGTATATAGTTGGTGATAGTTCGGGAGCTCGGGGGTTCATGTGTTGAGGCGTTTCTTTCTTCTTGTTGGAGATTTTTTAGTCTTTGGGCTTTAGTAATTTAGGCCTTTAGGCTTTGAGAGTTGTGCAGTATTGAGCCATGTTGGTTCGTTCAGCGTTTAGTGCTGGGTAGTCTTGTTTCGTTTTTTGTAGAGTTTCTTTCTATGTTCAGGTTTCTGAGTTTGATTTCCCAGGTTTTTACGTCCATGTGCCGGTCCGTGTACGTGAATGTACGGACTTTGGATATATTCAGATGCTTCGGGGCATGCATGTGCGTGCATGCGTATGGGAAATGGCAGTGATGGCGGCGCTGGCCGTGGTAATGCTGGTGAGGGTGATGATGGCGATGACCATGATGGTTGATGTGCCTAACCCCTGACGAACATGTCTGAGATTTTGATGTCGATGTTGGACAATGCTTGTGCTATTAATCCGGAGGGGTCGTTAACACAAGTGTACTCTCTAGTAGAGAGTACCCCAAAAAACTATTATTCTAACTACTAAGGCCTCTATACAAACAGGAGACTGAATAATTAGCAGTGGCGTCCCACTGTAAAGTCCCCAAAGTCGTGCTCCAACTCATGAACCCAATGCCGAATCCAGCCCCTCGAAACCAGACAGCCCAATACCCCTACCAAAATTAAAACACCCCTGACATCCTAAACCCTAAACCCTGACATCATAGTGAGAAGCGCTCCATAATTTCAAGCGGATTCCCCAGTTGGGAGGTGGGGGGGGGGTCTCTGGGAAAACCAGGAGACGCTTCCTCTGAAACCCTACAAGCCGCCAAGGCCTTATTTCTAAAGATTAGGGTTTAGGGTTTAGGGCTACTTATTATTCAATACCCCCGTTTGAAAATGTATGAGGCACTCCCTAAACCGTGCAAACCCTCAACCCTAAGCCCCGGCAGACACCGAAGACTCAGCAGACACCGTTGCACAAACGCAGGAAAGCTTCATGCAACCCGATGCAACCCTGGGAGGCCGAAGACTCGGCCCTAAACCGTAAGCCCTATACCCCAAACCCCATGGGCTTAGGGCTTAGGGTTTAGGGTTTAGGGGTTTAGGCCTTAGGGTTTTACTACTATTTGCTTAAGAAACCCCCAAAAAATAAAAATAATAACCCCTATATTACCACCATAAGGAATATTTTTTTAATTTTTTTGGGGGTTCTTAAGCAAATAGTAGTTTAGGGTTTAGGCTAATATTAGGGGTTTTAGGGCTGAGGGTTTAGGGCTTAGGGTTTAGGGTTTAGGGCTTGGGGTTCCTACATCTTCAACCTTTTTCGAAACCACTGAAGACCCAGGAGACACCTGAAGTTGCTGGAGACGCTGGCCGGCGAGGAGTCTACGGCCGGCTCCGCACGGCTTTTGAGCTCCCATCTGCAGGTTGGTTTAGTGCTCCAGGGTTCGGGTTTCAGGGTATTTAGGGCTTTAGGGTTTAATGTTTAGGCTTTAGAGTTATAGGGTATTTAGGGCTTTAGGGTTCGGGTTTCAGGTTTTTGGGCCTTGGGTTTTAATGTATAGGATTCAGGGCTGTAGGGTTAGGGTTTCAGGGTATTTAGGGTTGTTGAGCTTTAGGGTTAAACCTAAACCTTAAACCCTAAACCCTCAATTAACTTTTAGAGTTCAGGGCTTCCCACCAACTTGCAGTTGCGAAAGGCATTCGGGCGTTGGAAGTTAAGAGTTGAGGGCTTTAGGTCTCAGGCTTCAGGATTTCTGGTTAAGGGCTCTTCGTTTAGGGTTGTCCTTTTGGGAGGTCCCGGTCCCTCAATATGGGTACCTTCTTGACAGGATTCCCATCGCAAGACTGGGGTCAGTTCGTTGCTTGCGTGGCTTTCGGGCTTTTAGATCTGAGGTAACCAAGCATTACCCAAAACTCGAAACTCCTGAACCCAAAACGGTTTGAACTTCGAGTTTAGGGGAACGAAAGAAAACCAAAAAGGCCCCCTTGAAGCCTGCATTTAAAGCTCCACAGCTCCTCGAGCCTGAGGTCTTAGAATTCGAGCCCCCGGCCTTCAAGCGGTTTATATCCTAAGCGACACGCCAAACCGTTTCGGAGGCCTCACAAGGTGGGATGAAGGTAGGTGGGATTAAGGATCCCTTATATAAGGACTGTTATTTGGGAATATCCCACCTACCTTCATCCTACCTTTTGAGGCCCCCGATACCGTCAGGCATAAGGCCCTAGGCCTTCAACCCCTCAAAACTTCAATGCCTCAACCCCTCAACGCAAAGCAAGTGCTTCTCATGCCAAAGTGCCCTTTACCGCAACCACGACCACGACGAGGACTCCCACGATTGCTACGGCCAAAATCTAATGCCTAAAGCCTAAGCCCGAAGTGCTAAACCCTGAAAATCCCGAAAGTCCTTTCCTACCCCCAAGATTGGGTAAGATGATTGACCCTACACACTGTTTCTAAGGGCTCTACACGCTAAACCCTTTGGGTTGCCTAAGATCCAAAAGCCCGAAGCACAAGCAGCTTTATGAAGCGAAGAGGTGCTGGCCGGCGGCCTCTTGCGGCTTTGGTCCCTTCTCGCACGACGCAGCAGCTGCTCGACTTCCTGACGAGCTTCCTTGCAGCTTCTTTGGTTGTTTGTTTGTCAATCTTCTTGTGCATATACATACGTCATATACAAAAGCAAAATAAGTGCATATACATAAGTATCTAAGTTAAGGCCCCTCTATTAAACTATACTACCCGCTGCAATGACAGCTTCTGGTCTTGCTATGTCTGCGGAACTGATTGGGTTCTTGAGTGCTCTGGGTGGCTTCTTGGTAGGTTGTCTGGCTGATGGGCAACCCCAAAACCCTAAACCCAAAAATCTGAACCCCAGACCCCAAACCGTAGATCCAAAGCCCCGAGACCCCAAACCGAAACACTTGACCCACTATCCCAAAACCCTAGACCCAAAACCCCGACCTTATACACCCCACTCTACACTACGTAACCCTTGCAGACCCTTGTTAAAGGAACCCTTTAAAGGGAACCCTATTCGAATTATGAAGAACCCCGACCCCGATTCAAGACCTCGGGGGACCGAGAAGTTCTAGGATTACCTTGGGCTTAGGGTGTAGGCTCCCTTCAGGGTTTCCTTAAAGGATTCCTTAAAGGCTTCCTTAAAGGCTTCCTTAAAGGGATCCTTAAAGGAATCCTTAAAGGTATCCTTAAAGGTATCCTTGAAAGACTGCTCTATTGTGGGTTATTAAGGCTCCTATAAGGCCGCTATACCATAGACCCCCATCATAGATCCTTTATAGAACCCCCTTCAAGGAACCCTCCAAAGGAACCTATTCTCATAAGGCCCCTACATTAAAGACGGGGGTGCTCTGAGGCATGCCTAAACCCTAAACCCGAAAACCTAAACCCCAACCACTAAACCCCAAACCCCAATTCCTAAACCCCAAACCCTAACCCCTAAACTGCTCCGAGGCCCTTATAGTATCCCTTCAAGGAGCCCTTTAAAGGAACCCTAGTGTAATCCTTAAGCCTCCCTTACCGGTCAAGACGCGACTGCTCCGAGGCATCCTTCCGGACCCAGAGCTTCGAAATTTGGCCTTCGACTGCATCCCGGGGCAGCTTGGCCTTTCTCTTACCTTTGGTTACTAGGGAATAGGGCTTTAGGGTTTAGGGTTTAGGGTTTAGAGCCTTCAAAACAAGGGTTACTATAAGGGATACTACAAGGGATACTATAATAGGCCTCGAAGCTTACCTGTGGTTACTAGGGAATAGGGCTCCTTTAAAGATATCTATAGAGTTCCTTTGAAGGGATCTATAGGGGTTCAGGGTTCCTTTAAAGGGATACTTACCTTTTTGGTTACTAGGGAATGGAGGAGTGGGGTAGAATTATAACTACTATACTAACCAAAGGTAATTTTTCAGGTCAGAGCCTTCAAAATTAGGAGTTGGGGGTTTCGGTTTAGAGTTTCGGTTTAGGGTTTAGGGTTTCGGTTTAGGGTTTGGGTTTAGGTTTAGGGTTCAGGGTTTCGGTTGATATAAGGGATTTTTAGTCCTACCTACCTGCATCCCGGGCCGGCTCGGCGAGCCCAATACCCCCATAATTACGGAATATACCTTAAAGTTAGGGTCCCTTTTAGGGTTTTTAGACGGTTTAATGACGCTTAATTAAGGAATATACCTGAAATCATTAGGGGCGTCATATTATGATTGTTAAGCTATATTCCTGCATCCCGGGGTGGAAGGGCCTCTTCGAGATTTTCGGTTTAGGGTTTATAGGGTCTTCGGTTTACGGTTTGGGCTTTAGGAATTGGGGTTTCGGCTTAGGGTTTAGGTTTAGGAATTGGGGTTAAGGATTCTTTCAAGGATTCTACTTCGGAAAAGGGTGTGTGGGTTTTGGGCTAGGCTCAGCAACTCTTAAAGACCTACATCCGCAAGTAAGACCTTAAACCCCATATAAGTCCCGAATCAAAACCTACACACCAAATCCCTAGACAAAGCCTTGAATCATTAAATCTCCAAGCCAAAACCTGAACACTAAATCCCTAAGCCTCAAAACAACGCCCGGAACCCTAAAATCCACAAATGAACACATCGCTAGACCCTCAAGCTCTTGAAGCTATCCTAACTATAACTTACTTATAACCCCAAGTAGCCCGAAGCCCTAAACCCTAAACCCCTAAAGCCTTAAATACCCTAAACCCCCCTCAAGCTCATAAAAAAAAATAAAAATATTTTTTTTTGAGGCTGTTGGAAGCCCAGAAGTTCCTGGGCAGCGCCGCCGACGCCACGCTGCCCCACGCCGGGGCGGCCGGCGTCGGTGGGGGTCTCAGAAGGTGTCTCCCAATGGGGTCCCTTTCTTTGTGTTTTTCTGTGGTCTTTAGATTCTTTCAAAACCCACCCATAGCCAGAAAGAAGACCTTTCTAATTCTAGTCCTGGGTTTGGGGATTTCAGTAGAGGCTTCGATGCTTCCACAGGGGGTCTGTAAGGATTCCATACTCCCGATGAGCGTTGTTGAGGTTTCCTTCCAGGGCTCCGAGAAGGATTTCGGGCTCCTTCGAGGGTTCGGGTTCCTATTGCATGTCCGATTGGGATTCCGATCAGGGTTCCTGTTGAGCCCGTTGAGGTTTTGATTAGGGTTCCTACCAGGTTCTGGGGGTTCCGACTGGGTTTGGCTGTTGGGGTTCGGGAACTGAGTACTCTCTGAATGTACATACAACCGAGGAAAGCAACATGTTTTCCGAATGTTATGGGATCCAAAAGGTGGGTGAGTAGATACTCGATAGTCGATACCATGTAGTAGCAAGCTTGCCTAGACATTGCTCGAAACGGAGGTGATGAGCCCGCAACCGCCGCAACCCTAAAGCCTGAACCCCTCAACCTCAAATCCTAGTCCTAGCCCCTTTTACACCCAGAACCCTAAACTCAAAACCTTAAGCCCTGAAACTTAGACCAAAAGTCCACACCAGTAAACCTTAGACCCTAAATCCCAAACCTTAGAGGACCCGCGCTGCACCGAGCGGCGCTTCGGACTGCCAGAAGCCTTGCCTCAGAGCTCTTGCGCCGCGGCGGCGCAGCGCGAGAGGAGAGTCGTCAGCAGCTTTCGGGGTGGTTTAGGGCTTTCGAAAGCCTGCTATGAGTTTTCCTTTTGAAGTCATTGCAAAGGCTCTATAAGGGATTCTATGAAGGGTTTATAAGTTCAGGTTTCATAAGAGGTTTTATGAAGGACTTAGAAAGGTTTCATAAGAGTTTTATGAAGGATTTATACGTGTTTCATAAGGTTTTCTGAAGGATTTATAAAGGTGTCATAAGGGTTGTCTGGAGGATTTTACACGTGTTGTATGAGAATATTGACCGAAGCGGTGAGGAGACGCGTGCCTTGCTGGCCTTGTTGGAAGACCATGGCGTGGAGCAGGGGGTCCTTACACAGGCGCTGCTGCCAGGATTTAGGGTTTAGGGCTTAAGGATTACGGATTAGGGTTTAGGGATTAGGGTTTGAGGTTTAGGGTTTGGAGTTTGGGGTATGGGGTTTGGGGGTTTAGGGCCTACCTAGAGGCTCCATAGTGGTTCCTTCTTGTGGTTCATGTTTAGAATCCTATAAGGTAATGCCAAAAACGAACTACTATGGAGCCTATGGGTAAGGCTGGCAAAGCTTGAGGGTTCAGGGCTTAGGGATTAGGGTTTAGGGATTAGGGCGATTAGGGTTTAGGGTTTGAAGTTTAGGGTTTGGGGGTTTGGGGCTTTGTGTAGGGTTTTGGGCTTAGGGTATAGGGTTTCAGGGTTTTGGGGCTTTATTGTTTAGGGCTTTGGGTTGGCCCTGTGTCCCCCCCGAGCTGTAAACCAAAAGCCCCAAAGCCTAAAGCCTAAACCCCCAAGCCCTGAAAACCTGAACCTTATTTACCTTAAACCGAAACCCCAAACCCGAAGCCACAGACCCCAAAAGCCCAAAGCCTAAACCCCTAAAGCCCAGACCCTTGACCGGTGCCTTTCTTGCTAAGTCTGCGGCCGTGCTGTGAGGATGCCAAGCTCCTCATGGAGGACTCCATCGCGCATTGATGGAGGATGGGCTTAGGGTTTAGGATGTCGGGTTTCGGATTTAGGGTTTAGGGTTTGGGAATGATTGGGGTTTAAGCTTTAGGGCTTACCGATGGAGGATGGCTTCTTGAACGAACTCCTCCGTGCAGAAGCCGTGTGATGAACGTGGATGAGACCAAAAATCTGCGTCCGCCGTCGCCCTGAGGCCGGGCTCATGGGAAGCAAGCCAACCACAGTAAAAGCCGAAAAGTTGGAAACCTAATAACCTGAATCCTTAAGAGTAATGTATAGGGAATCCCAGCACTATTTGGCCTTAATCCAGTTTCCAACTTTATGGGTTTACTGTAGGATGTGTAGGCTTACACGTACCTTAGCAAATCAGCCGTGAATGCCGTGCTGATGTGCGACCATAAGCCTCAGCTCCTACAACCTGATTCCGTAAGCTTAAAACCCAAATCCAAAAGCCTTATCGGAAAGGCCAGCAAGCCGTGTCGCTGAAGCCGCTGCTTTCGCACCATCTGCACTAGGATGGCTTCCAGCCTTAAGAAGGGACGGAAGGAGATACAAAACCCATGGCTCTGCGTGGATTTGGTTCCTGCGCGCATCTTCTTCCAAGCATTCTTCTGCTTCGTGTTCCCTGCGTTGCTACGTCTCCAAGCCGAAGACGGACTTGTCGGCGTGAGGGCTTCCTCACCAGCGCGCTCCTTGGGTGTTCAGGGTTTAGGGCCCCCAGGTTTAGGGTGTAGGGTTTAGGGCTCAAGCTTTCGGGGGATTTGTGGTTTAAATTGCTCCTTTAGTTACGGGTTGCGAGTCGAAGAGTGCCATGATGGTGCCAGAAGGCGAAAAAAGGGCACGGCCGTTCCGACGACTCCACGTCGTGCAATACGTGAAAGCCTAGGGCTCTGACATGCTTGCAGGATCAACTTCGCTGTCTGTGTATAATGTAGGAACCTGATTAGAAAACCTTGGGCTTTTTTAGGGTTCCTTATATGAGTCATAAGCCCAGGGTTTCTTAATCTGGTTCCTACATTATAGAACGTACGGGCTACCCAGCATCGGCATCCGCAAACTGGAGTTTCACAGATCTGATGAGTACATTTCCTCAGTGTCCTTACATTACCAGGTTCTGTAACTTGGGTGACTCCTGCACTGCCCGAGCGTTCAGGGCATTGAGGCTGGTGTTTTGGTATGCGCAGCATGGGCACTGCAAGCCAAGCCTAAACCCTCAACCTTTAACCCAAGAGTCGAAACTTTAAAGCCTAAGCCCCAAACTCAACTCTAAACAGCCCTAAACCCTAAACCTAAGATCCTCAACCCTCAATCCGACTTAGACGCTACACCGCTCGCTGTTTGCCAGTTTGCCAGGCTGTTTGAGGGTTTAGTATAGTGTAGGTTGTGTTTGTTTTGGGTTCAGGGTTCGGGGTGTCGTAAAGTATATTGGGCCTCAATAATTAGAGGAGGGCTTTCGGGGTACATGACAGTTTAAATACTAGGACCTAGAGTAGGCCCTTATTCCCTTTTTTAGGGTTCAGGTTCCCTTATAAGCCCCTTTAAACCAAAAAGGGCACCCTTTTTATTCCTAGGTTACTCTTGGGTCTAGAATATCCAGGGACTAGAAGCACATGTGAGTATTGTAGCGGGACTCATCAATTACAGCAGAGTTTTGGGGATATGTTACAGTCGAAATATGCAGTGACTAGAAGGACGTATTTCGAGTACTACTCCTACTCCGACCCCCCCAGATTCATTTGAGTGTCTTGAGAACACATGCGGTGTAAACGGCACAATACCACGTCCGGAAACTACACCGTATACTTGCTAGCGTAGTGGTAGCATAAAGCTCGTGATGCTAGCGATGATGATGAAGATGAAGGATGACAAAGGTTTAGTTGTTGATAGTGACGATGCGTGTGTTGTCGTTATAGGGGTCAGAATCATCTCTAGTAGTGCCCCTTTACAGTCCCAAAATTAAAACCCTACTCTAATTCGTGCGATCCATATGTTATGGTAGAGGTCCTGCCTTCAATCTTAATCCCCGAGCCAGAACCCTAGTCCTCACACGTTCTAGTCTGAAGAACTTTAACGAGTGATTAGAAACAGGGTTCAGTTAGGCCGTTCTTATACCTTAGGGGTACTTAGAATTTTTTTTTAACTTTTGGTTATTATAATCCCTAAGAAACAGCTAAAATTATAATTTGTGCTAGGGTTCTAAGTTCAGTATAGATACAGGCTTCCTTTTTTGGTTTTAAGCTGATGGGACTCAGTAGTTTTTGAACATCACAAGCTGCAGCCAAAGATCTTCAAGACACTGCGAGCTGTTTTTGGCTTTCCTGAGCTCGGTTATAGGGTTAGGATGGTGGACGCCGTTTCGCACAAGTAATATTATATGGGCAAGCCGGAGCCCATACGCCCTAAAGCCTGTATACCAGAAACCATGTACCCGCGCGTTACAATGGTTGAGTCCCTGAACACTTAGCCTTAGCTGTAGACCCTAACCCCAGACTCCAACCCTAGCCCCTAGACCCTCAAGCGAACCAGTGTCCCCGCATCATGCGCTTTCGCCATGAGAAGATGCCGCGAGAAGAGACTGGGAGTGCTCCTGGTGCTGCTGGCAGCTTAGCTCCGCAAATCCGTTCACGTTTTCAAGCTGTTACCAGGGTTTTGTACTTCATCAGTTCTCCAGACTCAGCCTCTTAGTTGTTCGGTTCTTACAAGTTAGAGGCTTGGCTTTAATGCCGAACCTCCCAATTTTTCGGTTCTTACGCCTTACAGTACCTATACGGTAGCCTCATTCTGATCGTTTGAGCTTTGTTTTGCCCAGTGGTTGTCGCGGAATTTACCCTAAACAGCCAAAACTTCAGACCCTAGCAATAAACCGCAAACTCAAACCCCAAATCCTAAGCCCTAAACTCCCTACACCCTTTAGAACCCTTGTGGCACAGAGGTCTGCATACCCCGTCATAGTTCCAACTATTGCAGGCTCCAGTGGGCGAGCCTGATTCCAGCTTTGTTAAAGCTGTTGCAAAATGAACCCGGATATAGCTTAGAAGCTGCCCCAGCCCTGTAATAGTGACTATAAGGATTATAGTAGGGCCCTGTTATATTCCGATTATACCACTATTACAGGGTGGGGGTAGCTTCTAAGATAGAACCCTAAGGGTCCATGTACTCATATAGTATATGCATTGGCCTTAAAGTACTCCCTATATAGGTACATTGGGCCCAAAGTATAGTTATGCGGGTACATGGACCCTTAGGGGAAGCTTAATACAGCGACCTAAGTAACTAATACAGGGGCCTTAATAATAATAATACCTATACTACTTTGAGGGGTTCCTGATTATAATTATAGTATATTGGGCCCCAAAACCCTGTTCTGGTTATTAAGGCCCGTACAGTACCAAAATTTTCCTGATTAGTGCTCCTGCTTGGATTTTTTGCTCTACGATATTGTTATTAGGCGGTACTATGCGATACTATATTTCATTATCCTATACTTTAGCGAAGCCACGCCATGCCTCAAAACTTTTAGCCTGATTCGTTACTGCCCTACCTTAAAAACCCTAATGGAACCTGCAAGTAGCCCGGAGAGAAACATTTTAAAGAACCGTTTAGCGGGTCCTGGGAATTGCAAGGCGGGAGGCACGGGCCTGCTGTCTTTGCTGCCGGCAAGCACAGCACCAGAATTGTGGCACCTGGGCCGACATGGGGCTTAGGGTTTAAACCAAAAACCCTAAACCCTTTGGATTTAAAGCTTAGGAACCCTAGACCTTAAATCCCTATAGAACCCTTTAAAGGGACACTTAAAGGATCCTTTACAACTACCGAAGAACCTCCAAGTAGAACCCACACCCTCTACCCTTATAGAACCCCTATAGAGCCCTTCAAAGGGATCCCTCAAAGGAACCCTTATAACTACCCATAAACCTCCAAGTAGGAGGTGCATTATAATTATAGCATCAACCCTAAACCCCAAACCCTAAAACCCTATAGATCCCTTACAAAAAACCCCTTTAAAGGTACCCCTGTAGACCCCTTTCAAGGAACCCTAAGGGCCCGACAGTAGGAGATACGAGCCGCCGGAGCTGCGACGGTTAGCCATCCGCTCGCAGCCAAGCTTCGACGCGCAGCGAACAGGCGGTGGGGGGGGGGGAGCACTGATACGTTTAGGGTTTGGGTTTGGGTTCAGGGTTTAGGGTTTAGGGTTTAGGGTTTAGGGTTGATGAGATGAATCATACGGTCGATGATATATAGGGGTTCCTTTAAGGGGATCTATAAGGGTACCTAAGGGGTTCCTTCAAGGGAGCTATAGGGTTTTATGTTTTAGGTTCAGCCGTAGAGTTTAGTTGTTAGGGTGTGAGGTTTAGGGTCCAGGGCAGGTAGCAATGGTTTAGGGATGTCTCTGTGCAGGTTTGCCATAGTTCCGGCTGCCATCGTTACGGCTACGGTTCCTGGCTGCGACGATGGTGGTGACATTGGATGACAGTGTTGTGAATTGATCATGATGGGAATGGTCGCAACTCGTGATGATCATGCTGATGTTCATGATCTTGATGATGTTGATGACCGCGATGGTGACGCTGATGGTGTTGCTCTTTTGGCATTCCATCTCGACACAAAAAGGTTTTCTGCCCATGATAGTTGAGAGCACTAGCCAATTACCGTCCACACAACAATCAACAAAGTTGCCTTTGCGCCGCCAACCCGAAGCCCTAAAACCAGAAGCTCTAAGCCCTAACCCTGAGTATCCCAACTCGAAACCCACCAGCACTTGCACCAACGCTGTCTAAAGTAGAAAGACTTTGCCATAATCCTCGGAATTCTTACCTTCTCTAAAGCCTACAGGAAGCCGTACTACCATGGATCCTAAACTTTAAATATTCCGGCATAGCTCGCAGCCCTAATTAGGGTTCAGGGTTTAGGGTTAATCCTCAACTTTAACTCAAATCCAAACCCCAAGAACAAGAACGAGACATCCACAAACCTTACCCAGAGAGCCCAACATCCCTTAATTAAGGGATATACCTCAAATTATTGGAGGTTTCATATTATGACTTAAGCTATAATCAATGGCTATTGGGCCCCTTGGGTGGACCCTAATTGCCATCGCCTTGCATGGAAGGTGCGGAGCTGCAGCCGGGTGAGGTCTTTGAAGCTTCCGCCCTCGAGGCACCGAAAGAACACTAAGGCTTCTATAGTTTGTTTAAGGGTCCCTCAAGGATTCCTTTAACGGTTCCTTTCAGGGTTCCTTGTAGGGTTCCTCTAAGGATCCCTTAAATTAAAGGAGCCCTCAAACGGAGCCCTTAAAGGATCACTGGGTCCCCAAGGGTTCGGTTAGGGGTACGGGGCTCTCCGGGTTACCCCAGCGGCCCCGCTGGTTTTCACCGTAAGTGCAACACCATTGGAGGAAGCTGAGAAGGCGATAACCGTCCTTTCGAAAAGGGTTTGGTGTTTAGGGTTTGAGGGTTAAGGATTAAGGGTTTAGGGTTCAGGGCTTTGGGTTCCTGAGTTAGGGGTTTAGGGCTTCGGGTTTGGGGTTTAGGGTTTGGGGTCCCCAGCCCTTCAAGCGCTTTACATCCTAAAGCCAATGTTCAATCCCTAAACTCACAAACTCGAAATCCGAAGATCTGTGAACCCTGAGAGCTCGATAGAACAAGAGCCCCTGAAGCCCCAAACGATAGCCACAAGACAGTCCCCAAACCCTAAACCCCGACATTGCTGACATTTACGGTGCAGGGTGTAGGGCTTTATGCTTGAACCCAAGAGCATTAGCCCTAAACCCATTCCTAAACCCATTAACCCGTAAACCCAAAACACCTAGACTCCCCAAGCCCCAAACCTTAAACCCTAAATAACACACCTGGGGTTTTCTTTTTCAGGACGGAGGCCCTCTGACGTTCCTGCAGCTTGCAGATGGACGAGGTTCCCGCCGGGGTCGATTTAAACGGATTAACAGTTCCCCAGTAGTATTTTGCACTTTTTGTGCTGGGTCTCCAAAAGAACCGAATAGTAGCAAACACAGTGCACTCATTATCAAGGGGCTACTGGGGAACCTGGCTAAAACGGTTGATGTTATCAATCCAGCATTACCCATAATAAGGAATAGACCACAATTTCCATGCTTTGGGGCCATTAAGGTAAGGCAGGATTTATATCATCAACCGTCTGGGGTGTAGGCGGTGTAGGATTTAGGGTCGAGCCAAGGCTCTTTGGCTACTTAAACCCTCAACCCACTAAACCCTGAAACCCTAAACCCTAAACTCTACTTAAACTCTAAACCCTCCAAACCCTGAAACCCTAAGCCCTAAACCCCAAACTCCACTTAAACCCTAAACCCTCTGAACCCTAAACCCCTAAGCCCCTAAACCCTAAATCCTAAACCCTGAACCCCTAAACCCTAAACCCTCGTCAGGGCTCCTTATGCTAACCATCCAAATCCCGTGGTCGAGGCTTTGTTTTCGCAGCGCTGCCGGACGAGGGCCCTCTCTGCCTCCGCTATGCAGGCCATCTTTCTGGGTTCGGGTTGAAGGTCTAGGCTTTGAGGTTTAGGTTTAGGGTTTAGGGTTTAGGGGTTTAGGCTTTGAGGTTTAGGAATTAGGGCTGGGCATTTAGGTCTAGGGCTCAAGATTGAGGTGTCACCACAGGCTAAAGATGTAGTGTTTGTGGGCAAGTTTGCGGGCTTAAGGCTTGGGTGTTGCCTTCCCGATCGCGCCCTCCACTTCAAGGAGGAAGGTGTATACGTCTGTGTGTGTTTAGTCTTCGGATGGACGCACGAAGATGGCGGCGGCCGTGTTGGCGATAAGCATGACGATGGAGCGAACGTCAGCAAGTGTCCTGGTTTTGTCGGTTTTGGTGGTACCCTGAACCCTAAAAACTAAACCCTGATGATGATGATGATGATGATGATGATGAGATGCGAGGATCATGTTTGGCAATCGTTCTAGTCGTGGCCGCCTTCCTCCTCCTCCTCCTCCTCCTCCTCCTCCTCCTGCTGCGCACTCAAGCCCTTACACCCTAGACACGCCTGCAGTCAGCCCTTAGCCGTAACGCCTTCCTGGACCCTAAGGAACCTACCTTTTCAGGGTTCCTTATTCTGACTTCCTCATATAAGTCCCTAAAAAAGACGGTAGGTTCTTCAGGGTCTAGCCCACTACCCCTTAATTAAGGAATATAGCTTAAATCACAATAAGAAGCCCCTTGTAAGTTCAAGGTATATAACCCTTAGTTGAAGGGTATTGGGCTCTCTGGGTTCATCGGAGGGCCCACGAGCTGGATCTTCGAGCCACCGGCGCACCGGCCGCTCGACTTGCGTGCCGAGCCAGCCATTCATGCGGAGCGCACGGGGGAGAGGCTTCTTCCAGGCAGCGTGCCCCTTGGAAGATTTGCTGAAAGTTTGGGGGTGAGGGTTTTCAAGATGTTTGGAGAACTCTAGGATTTTGGGTGGAAGATTCGGGTGTATTTTAGCTGCCGTGGGGTCTTGTAGTTTCGGATTCACGGGGTTGGGAGTAAGTTTAGGGTGTGTTTGCTTTGTATAGTTGAACTGAGCAGACCACAACCCCTCAGCTTCGGCTGTGGCTCATGTAGTTTCAAGGTCTCTAGCCAGCCCTAGACTCCAAGCTCCGAAACCCCCAATTCTATGCCGGCCCAGAGAGCCCAATACCCCTTAATTAAGGAATATAGCTTAAGATCATTAGGGGGCTTCATACTATGATTCAAGCTATATTCCTTAACAAAAGGGGTATTGGAGCCCCCTACACCCGAAGCCCTATAGATCCCTCAAAGGAGCCCTAGGCCCTAGCTAGTCCTTAATAAAAGGTAAACCTTAAACCTTAAACCCTAACCTTTTAGGGTTTAGGGTTTAGGTTTTAGGGTTTAGGGTTTAGGGTTTAGGGCCCTAAGCCCTAAACCCGACACCCTAAGCCCTAAACCGTGGCCAAAGACCCCGAGCCAAAAGGCTCCGACAGCCAACTCCTTTCAGCTTGGAACCTCATACCCAGAGAGCCCGATACCCCTTAATCAAAGGGATCCTTTAAGGGCTCCTTAAAGGAATCTAAAAGGGTTCTATAAAGGGTTTAGGGTTTAGGGTTTCAACCCAGAGAGCCCGATACCCCTTAATTAAGGAATACCTAGGGCCTAGGGTTCCTTTAAAGGGATCTATAGGGTTTAGGGTTCAGGGGGCTCCAATACAACTTCATTAAGGAATGTACCTTAAATCATAATATGGGCTTCATATTAATGTTTTAGGCTATATTCCATAGTTAAGGGGTATTGGGCTTTTTGGGTAATGTCTGAACCTGATTGAGAAACCTTGTGCCTTCAGCAGGGTTCCTTTAAAGGGGTCTATAAGGGTCACTGTAAAGGATCCATAAGGGTACTATAATCATGTAGGAGCCTGATTAACAAATCTTGGGCTTTGATTAGGGTTCCTGGTGTTATAGGCCCAGAGTTTCTTAATCAGGTTCCTACGTCAAACCCCAAATATGGAAACCTTATAGAACAGTTATAGAGCCCGTTTTTGTACCCTAAATCTTATTCCCATAGACTCGTTGGGGCCTTTGCCAGAGTCCCTGAATCCCTAAACCCTAAACCCTTCAAAAGGGACTCTACTAGCTCCCGAGGTTCCGCTGTTGTGGAGAGCGGCTCCATGGTGGCACCCTTTTCTTGGAGCTCGACGATGGCAGGGGTTGGGCATTCAGCAAGGCCCAGAGAGCCCAATACCCTTTAACTAAGGAATAGAGTGTAAATCATAACATGAAGCCCCTAATGATTTAAGGTTTTTTCCTTAATTAAGGGCAAGGCCCAGAGAGCCCAATACGCTTTAACTAAGGAAATAACATGAAGCCCCTAATGATTTAAGGTTTTTTCCTTAATTAAGGGCAAGGCCCAGAGAGCCCAATACGCTTTAACTAAGGAAATAACATGAAGCCCCTAATGATTTAAGGTTTTTTCCTTAATTAAGGGCAAGGCCCAGAGAGCCCAATACGCTTTAACTAAGGAAATAACATGAAGCCCCTAATGATTTAAGGTTTTTTCCTTAATTAAGGGCAAGGCCCAGAGAGCCCAATACGCTTTAACTAAGGAAATAACATGAAGCCCCTAATGATTTAAGGTTTTTTCCTTAATTAAGGGCAAGGCCCAGAGAGCCCAATACGCTTTAACTAAGGAAATAACATGAAGCCTCTAATGATTTAAGGTTTTTTCCGTAATTAAGGGGTTGTGCATTCAGCAAGGCCAAGAGAGCCCAATACGCTTTAACTAAGGAATACTCGGAGGTTCATGGGTAGTTATAAGTGGGGTTATAAGTAGGGTAACTATACTTATAGCCCATATTAGGGGACTTATAACCCCACTTATAACAACCCATGAACCTCCAAGTAGAGCGTAAATCATAACATGAAGCCCCTAATGATCTAAGGTATATTCCTTAATTAAGGGGTTGTGCATTCAGCAAGGTGCCGCTTCGAGAGACCAACTGGTCCAGGGGTGGCTTAGGGTCAAGGGGCTGTGGGGGTTTAGGATACCAACTGGTCTGGGCGTGCTTCGGGTCGGGGGAGCTTAAGGTTAAGACTTTTTAGTGAGATGTGGGTTTGAAGATATTCTGGTCTGAAAGTTGTGTGGTTTATGGGCTCCCTATAGTCTCCATTGTAGTTCCTTTTTGGGGTTACCTTATAGGAGCCTTAATATGTAATTGGTTAAACCACAAAAAGGGACCACAATAGAGACTATAGGTTGGGTCCTTTGCAGAAGTGCCCTCGTTCACGCCAGATCTGTCAACTCAATCAGACGAGCGATCAGGCCTTTCGTGAAGACGACTTCGACGTTTCTGTCGTCTGTTGTAAGTAGGGGCCTTCATAATTAGAATTAGGTCTTGGGTTTTTCATTAAGGAACCCCTCCAAAACCCTATTCTAATGATCAATGCCCCTACATTGCATGTTATTCATGGTGCTTCTGCGTGTGGCTGCTTGGCAGGACATGGGAGTTTTTGAAAATTAGGGGTACCTTATCTTATTTTGTGGTTCTTATAATTTAGGGTGCTTTATTACGGTCCCCTATTTTCTGACACTCCCACATGTGCAAAGAAGCAAAAGCCTCCCGCGCTCTCGTGCTTGTGCCCTTAAGGTTCAGGGTTTAGGGTCCTACTTGGAGGTTCATGGATAGTTATAAGTAGGGTAACTATACTTATAACCTCGATTAGGGGACTTCTAACCCCACTTATAACTTCCCATGAACCTCCAAGTAATGCCGTGATCACGGCTTCTGCTGTACGTTCTTCAGCCGAGCTTCGGCAGGGAGCGCTCTTCTGTGCTGCTCCTACGGTAGACGTCGACGTGCGATTTAGGCCCGATTCGGCGTCGGAGCACCCAAGTCTGCCGTGTTCTTCAAACAGCGTCCTGGCGCCCAAAAGTGCTGCAGCTGCAAAGGCTTCTGGGCAAACGTACCTGCTGAAGCCGAGATGTATCGCCAGCACCCAACCTCCAACGCGACTTGTCCTGGCCGGTCCTGGCCGACGACCACGCGCCTTGCCGTAGCAGTGGATGTGAGGTTGTCCGCGCGACGGGTGCGGCTGTCGCCTGCGAACTCACATCGTCAACCCGGGGCTGAATCGTAGGAATCGTCGATCGCTCGTCCGAAAGGTTTGACGGTCGATGAACTTTGGACCCTCTCCCCGCAGCGCAGGGGCATTCGATGCGCGAGTGATGGCCCGAGACATTCGTTGATTATTATTATTATTATTACTATTATTACTATTATTATTATTATTATTATTACTATTATTACTATTATCATTATTATTACTATTATTATTATTATTATTATTACTATTATTATTA